ACACACACACACACACACACACACACACACACACACACACACACACACACAGGCTCTGTGTACCATAGAATGCATATTTACAAATTCCTGAAATTTTCTTTGTTTCTTCTCATCCCCAACCTCTCCATGTTCACAGATTTGTTCACCCAGGATTCAAAGGAATGGCAGACTTCCGAAGTCCAGTCTTAAATCCCCAGATCCCTTAAATGAATTCTGTTTTAGATCAAAGGACCAAGGCAGATCTCTGCAGTCAGAGAAGGGACCGTGAGGGAAGGGAAGAGCCACACTGAGGGAGAGGGAGGCTCGAGAGCCAGGTGTGGCTGAAACAGTGAGAGGACACTGTTGAGAGACACGGAGAGGTTGGCAGTGTCCAAGGGTGTCATAGTCAGGTAGATACACCTTTACTTCTTGAGCAAGATCTCTGCTTCTGAGGTCTTCAGCTCAAGCTCACAATGCACTGCTGTGTCGCAATCACATGGTGTCATGTTAAGGTGCTCACAGTGTGCTTGGTCTGTGTTTTTCCAAATTCTTCACTCCCTACGCCATATGGCCCTGACCTGTCTCAGAGTGCCTACCGAGTCTTCACCAGTAGCACCTGCTTAAAGCACATGATTCTGAAAGTCCGTCGGGACGCTCGCAATTTTGAACGCTACCAGCATAACCGGGACTTGGTGAATTTCATCAACATGTTCGCAGACACTCGACTGGAACTGCCCCGGGGCTGGGAGATCAAGACAGACCAGCAGGGAAAGGTGAGTGGGACTCAGGTGAGGGGCTTTCATCAAATGGGCTCCTTCACCAAGGAGAAGACTAGTGAGGCTGTGGGGAGGAGGGAGTGGGGAAGAGGGCTGTGTCTCAGAGATGTGCTATTGTACACCAGGAGGAAGGGAGGAGACTGCTATCCACACTCAGCACTGTTGCTTGTAGGGGAGTGGGGGATGGCAGGGGAATGTTCTGTGTATTATGGGATGTTTAGTGTCTAGATGCCAAAGGCATCCCTCACCCCCAAGTTGTGACATTGCTAATTTTGCCCCTGGGAGGCAAAAAATCACATTCAGGTGAGAACTACTGTCTAAATCTTTTTAAATTTACATTTGGAATGTGGAACCAGATTCTCTTCAATGACCTTTCTATTGTTTTGCCTCCTTAGACAGCTGACTCTCAGGGGATAAACTTATTGGTTAAATGGGAATGACATTATTAGATTACTTGTTGTGATTTCCCTAATAAGCTTTCAGTTCTCCTTAAAACAGCCTAACAAGCAGGGACAGAGTGTGCTGGGCCTGTGCAATCTTCTTGGCCTCCAATTTTCCTCTGTGTGAACTTAACCCTAACCCAAAGAAGCCTAGCTGAGGCTCTAAAGCAAGAATGTTTCTTCCTAATCTTCATCAGCCAGCATTTATAGCACAGGCCAAATAGTTTACTAAAGAATTGTGCCTGTGTCATCTTTTATGAACTTTGCTAGAAAGAATCCCTCCCTCTTTTACGGTCCAAGAAACCAGAAGCTTTGCCAGGAGGCATGTCTTTAGCATGTCCTTTCCTCTGTGACTGTGAACCCACAAAGCCATGCTTTCCTACGAGTCCATTAGTATGCCTTAGAACCTGGACTCTCTGGAGCATGTGGGAAAGAATGTGTCTACTCATGCAAGTGCATTCATAAAATAAATCCTAAGGACCACCTCCTCTGTGGTCAGTAATGAATTGGAGTAGAGGAGGAGGGCGTGCCTCTTGAAGTAGAAAAGCCACCATAGCCAGAATCTGCTCCCTGGGACCTTCTCATTGACTGGATGTGACCTCCATTGGAAGCATGACAATGATTTGCATGTGAGGACTTTCTGATATGTTAGGGTGGGAAATAAAAACAGAAAGTAAAGAAGCATCTTATCAGAGCTGGGGTGCACCTACCTTGTCTCAGTGGTCTTGGGTAGCCACATTTACTTATTGCTTAACCAAGATGCCAACAGGACACCATCATGAATCAGTGCATAGAAAGGCAGTGTCTACCATGCAAACAGCACACATTCATGTGAACTGCTTGCTTACCCTTGGATTTCCATAACTGCAGCTCTTAAACCAGGATGCGGACAACAGGGGCTCCTGCGGGTTACCAAGGAGGCCTCCCAATGAGAGAAGATCTCCTACTCCATGGTACATACACATCTCCTAGTCATCACACCAACAGAAGCACAGGGGCTGAGAAACACACTGACAATTGTATTGCATTTGGAATTGCATATTAGGAAATTTCTGGCAAGAGACTTTCTTTCTAATTCTCTTTAGTGAGATGGCATCATATATAAGAAAGAAAAAATCTGAATTTGAAATGAGAAGACAAGTTCTACTTTCAGTTATGACACAAACTAGCTGTGTGATTATGCACACACATCCACACACACATACACATGCACAAATGGTCTCACCGATTTCTTATTAATTGAACACATACGCACACACAGTCATAGTTGACTGACAGAATTTCTAAGGGGCATGCTATGTAGTGTGTTGCTGGAGGAAAGTAGTCTTAGATTTGGAATGTATTATCACAATCCATAAGGTGGTCACAGGGGAACAATGGAGAATAATGGGAAAAAAATGTGTACAGATTGGTTCATCCCATTCTAAAAACATGACCCAGTGTGAATCACTTCACCCTGTCTAAACCTTAACATAGCAATAACAATACCTACCTTCCCTTCATGATTTTATAACCAGATATAAAAAATAAATAAGTTATTGAGGGATCCTTGACAATATCATAACAGATTAGTAGTATCTACCATTCTTTCTCTTAATGTCTGCAAAAATAACTCTAGATCAAGACAAGAGGAAAAGGAGGAAACAAAAGAATATCTCATTGCCAAAGCCCACTGATGATAGGAGTAGATTAGAAAAACATTTTTGGCCGATATTTTATAGGCTTCACTCTAACCTAGAAAGAATATACTACAGAGGAGACAGAGAGGAACATAACCCACTGAAATATGGTGTGACCAGAGCTCACTATGCAAAAGCCGCTTCATGGCTGGCCAGATCAAGTTCCAGAATACCAAAATCATCTTTCTGTCCCTCATCCTGGCCAATCTGCTTCTTGCTTTATCTATACTTCCAAAGACAACAACCTTCACTTTTGTTGTGCACTGTAGAAGCAGAAGAACTGGGCAGAGCTGTTTGGTGTCTTTGAATGCATAGGCGTCCCTACAAAGGAGAGAGAAGCAAGGAGCTCAGAGTTCTGCCACTTCAGGAGGACTGGGGCAAAGAACAAAATGGATCTGACTCCTCTGACATTTTCAAAGTCTGAGAAAGGAGGACATAGGCTCCTGCTAGACTTTGGGAGCGCCTGCATGTGTGCCTCACACTTGGTTTTTAAGCCTGAGCCAAGGGGGACAGTTACCATCAGAGAGGTGGTGAGGCTGCGGGCCCCTCAGGCCCTATCTTGTGGCAGGCATGAGACTGAAGTGGCCTCTACTAAGGCCTCTATTGAATAAATAAAATGGGAAGAGCTATGAAGAAGCACAACCACATGAAGGAAACAGAATTTTGGTCTCTGAGAGAAAGCATATTTTTTTCTCAAAAGTATATTTTTCCTCGGAAACTAAACACACACACACACACACACACACACACACACACACACGCACACACACACACACACACACACACACACACATACATTTTTAAGACAGGGGTCTCACTATGTTGCCATGGCTGGTCTCGAACTCCTGAGCTCAAGTAATCCTCCCACTTCAACCTCCCAAAGCACTGGGATTACAGTCATGAGCCACTCTGCACCCAGCTGTCAGAAAGTATAATCTTATTCAAAAAATAGAATGAAATGTTCAAAAAATGTCTATGCATCCCCCACAAAATGGTACAGGAGCACATGTCTTCTATTATCAAGCAAGAGGAAGAAGCCCCAAACAGAAAACAAGCTGAGAGGAAGCAGACATAAGAAAGGAGGCTGAAAATAGAAGTTTTAAGATTGCAGGAAAAAGCAAAAGGTAATAATAGCATAGGGACAAAACAGAGCAGAACTGATACTGCATAAAATCAAATCACCAATATGGCATATGAATATGGAAATAGCCCTTAAAGCAGAAGGAAGGGACCAGATTTCAACCAGTGAAGGAGAAAGGTAAAAAAAAATGCAAAAACTGAAAAAAGAAAACACGTATCCTCTCTGTGAGGCCCACCCAACCATCCAATGTCATTGCATAGGCTTCCCCAGATCCCTAGGCCATGTGCTTTCCCATATCATTTACATGTTTATTAGGTTTATTGCCTTTTGTCTTTTTCTCCTGGCAGGATTTTAAGCTCTTTGAGAGCAGAGATTTGTGTTTTGCTCATTCATAAAACGTCAAGGGCCAAGAATAGTGCCTACTATATAGTTAGCACTCAATGACTCTTTGTTGGACCAATGACTTATAAAGGTTCCTGAAGGCAAAATCAGAATAATAGGCACAGCATCAATAATTCAATATTAACATTCATTTAATTAAATATTAAAAATAAAACTTTGCTCATCTAAAACAAATTATTCATGTGGGCAGATTTATTGGGCTCACTGAGTTATAGTAAAAGTAATTAAAATAAGCTATATGTCTACACATGTTCTGGAATGTCTTTAAATAGAGATTTTTAAAATCTTATCAATGTGCAGCCATAATAATATAAAAGTTACCCATAAAAGAACAAAAATCAGACAAGCTTCAAATTTCCCATCCAAAAAACTAAAATGGAGAAATCCACGGAGCAGTGACTCCAAGATATTGATGAGAAATGTTGTAGCCCAAATAGTCCTACATACAGACAAGTTGTTGTCACTCATGTATGAAGGTAGGAAAAAAACCTTCTGTGCAGGGTCAGAGATAACCTGCTCTTCTACCTACCCAAAGGCCCCTCTCCAGGTAAATCACTCATGAAGTAAAACAGGAAGTTAATAGTAGGAAAATCATGGTATAAAAGGAGGTAGTTCTGCATGGAGGATAAGGTTTCAAAAGGGGGACGGACGGGTTCGATGGCTTAACCTGTAATTCCAGCACTTTGGGAGGCTGAGGTGAGTGGATTGCTTGAGCCTTCAGGGTCGAGATCAGCCCGGACAACTTGGTGAGACCTTGTCTCTACAAAAATTAGGTGTGGTAGCACATGCCTGTAGTTTTGGCTTCTTGGAAGGCTGAGGCGGAAGAAACGCCAGAGCCCAGCAGGTCAACGCTGGGGTGGCCGTGAGCATGCCACTGCACTCCAGCCTGGGCAACAGACAGTCTGGGCAACAGAGTGAGACTCCAACTCAAAAAAAAAAAAAAAAAAAGGACTGGCAATGAGTATTTAAATCAATCAAATACATACATATAAATAAAAATAATTGCTGTTAAAATGCTTTAAATATGTTGGAAGACCTAAATAAATTATGGAAAAAGATGTTTAATAAAAATGTAATCATTGTATAATAACAATCTGGATCAATATCTCTAGACTGGAATAAAAGGTGAGGAAACAAGAAGAAGGAAGTTGCTAGGTAGGTACAGGGAAAGTAAAATTGGATAATGTGAAAAGCAAAGGCTAAATATAGTTATTTGAAAAACTTAGAAGTCAACTGTTTGTACCATATAAAACAAGATTTTTCTCTTCCAAATTCCTTCAAAAGATAAAATCAAGAAAATACAGTTTGTATAGCAAAACACACAAAAATTTGCAAATAAAATGGAAATAATAAAAACAAGATAGCAAAAGCAAAGCCAAACATAACAGTTATGGC